ATTTATATATATATATATATATATATATATATATATATATATATATATATATATATATAATATAACATAACATAACATAACTTCCATATAACTTATTTTTACTTTAGAAATTTTCATAACTTTTTATATATTATATTATATTAATTTGTATGACTTTTCCAGGCTTGGAAATCACAAATTTAAAATGTCCTAAAATCTCACGGTAAAACTAAAATACATACATGCATACATGCATACCAATATAAATATTAATTGTTTATTATTAGTAGTACATGTCTGTAATATATTATATAAATATTTAGACCTTTTTTTCTAAATGTTATATTTAAATATTGAATGTTTTAAAGAGTAAACTACTAGTCGAACAGAAATTTTTTTAGTCGGGGGCAGCCCTAGAAGTCACTCACCGGGGCCTGGAGAGTGCTGTCCTCACGGTCGATGCTGCCCCTCGAGTTCCTCGACTCCGGATTCTGAACAAACACAAACCATCATTCAAATAAACGGATTCATGATTCAAATCATGCATCATTACAAAGAAAAGGATTTGTAAAATCTTTATGAGATAAACATTCATCTGATTATGTCATCATCATCCCCACATCACATGACTGATGAATTCCATTGACTTTTCTAGTCGTTTATGATTACTGGATTAAAAATCAACAACAATATCAAAAACAACAATAAAAACTGAAAAATGTGAAAGTAATTTCAATTTAGAAAAGTAATAAAGCATTTATAGAGTGATTTCTAGTCACTAAAATATTTTACAAATATTTGATTTTATATTTTTACGGAAGAGATTTCCAGTTTTTTAAAAATGAAAAAAATTTCACACAAAATTAAAAAAAAATACAAACATACACACTAACAATAACTAGTACTAACAATAATAATAAACACTGTATTTTTTTTAAATATCTGTAATATTTATTTATAACTATTTTTATTGCTTTTAAATATTATATTTAAAATTTTACTTAATTTTTTAAATGTTAAAACTTTAAAACTTATTTTCACAGATTTTTTTCATAACGTTAAGATTATCTTAATTTTTATAACAACAACAACAACCATTTTAATATTTATTTACCTGTAAAATTTTATCATTATTTAGAGCTATTGTTTAAAATGTATACATCATATATATATATATATATATATATATATATATATATATATATAT